ATAATCGAGGAGTTAGAGCCGATGATGCACATGTCCATGCACATGCACATATCACTGCCTGGGAATCTTCCTCTCCCAAGGCTTCAAACCCGTGACTTAATTATCTTCTTTTTCATCTTCACCCACATTTTGTCTCATTATTTGGGGCCGCTGGTGTGAGAATGCACCGCTTCCCTTTTTCATTCTTGAATCACAAAAAACACACTCCCCTCGTCTCTCAAGTTGAAATTTACATCTAATCCTAGAGTAATTGGATGATGTCCCTGTGCATTTGTTGGTTAGGATCCCCCGTGATCAAGCCTATCAACAGTCGTCTCCACTTTTGACGCGGATAAAAAATTATACACGATATTTACGCACACACACTAATGACCTCTATCTAGCCCATCTATACATAAAGCCTTACATTTAATATACTATATCTCACAGGTGGATCCACTGGCTAAATTTTTGGGCCAATTCCATGTCTGACTCCTCTTATTACAGTCGCCTTTTCATGACTTCCCTTTATTCTTCATAAGCCTTTCCTCGGTGATATTTCTTCCTGTTGTTGGACAGTTGTCCTGGGTTCAGGAACGATTGTTGAGTGTTCTTTTGGTACAAGAGAGTAGTGTCCGATCACAAAGGGTAACAATAGCGCAAGAGTATCGGCGGAGCAGGATGTTCACAGTATAGAAAGTTTTTGGTTTATGATACTATTGTGTACTTTTAATGCCACGTTCTAATTGGTTTAACGAAGAAGTTCGATGCGGTGATTAAATTCGCTTAGTCCCGGCCGATAAGTCATGTTCCGAGTGTTGTTGCGTGAGTTAAGAATGGTCGTGATTAGAAGTGTAGCCAGACTAACTGTGGTGTAAAAGTCAATAAAACCTAAATCTGAAACAACCGTTCGCTACTAAACAGAAAATAGCGATTATATCGAGCAAGTTATTTAGTGGAAAGAATCCATAACTGAATAGAGTTCTCCACATAACCATAAAGAGCAGACCTGTGCTGGTGAGACGATCATATGCTTTGTTTATCACGCTTCATCTCAGTACTGCAGTTCCATGTGTCTCTATTACCAGCTTGCCGTAACGGATCGCTCGTGGAAAGTCCAAATTCTGGACTCATTACAGCAGCTTCTAGGCGGTATCTTTCTCCGGATCGTGCTAACTACGTCACGCCTCTCCATGCGCCAGACAGTCACAGTACTGGATCTCCATGTGCTATATCTATTTGTATCACTTCGCCAAACAACTAACCTGCGTTTATACATATTCGGTCGGGCCGTCAAGCCTAGAATGGCCGCGATCACCTGAAATCAAATCCAAAGTAAATTCCCCCTAGACACTGTCGTTAGGTCTACGTCCAAATGAGCCTATTTGCTCTGCCTCAGCAATATAAACTTCAAATAAAAGTACTTCGAAGCACTTCAGTGTCTCTGCATTGCATATATTCCAAATGGCGAAGATACATAGCATGCTGTATTTGTCCTTGCTTTTTCATCCTTGCATCTTATGCATTTGTTTTCCAACTTAAAAATTTCCTATCGCAAGAGCTTTTTTGCCTGACACCACCTAAAATTGTACTTTTTTCCGTTTATATAAATTCTCTTTCTTATATTTTACTCTAGCTTCTATTTCCTTATCCGGTTCTATCTCATGTTAAATTCAATAAGGAGCTAAGGGTACCCATATTATGAACGATTTCTCTGTAATTCTTTTTTCTGATTTCATGTCTTAAAATTGTAGGGCTTTGTATGAAGAACATTAACCACCTTAATCCCACAAAGTAAAAATACTGAGAGCATAGCATTGGCATTTTTGGCTGCTTCAAGAAATTAAGAATAGTTTTTCCTCAGGTTTTATGGTTATTTAGCCTTTGATTATTCTCCTAGCTTGACTATTTCGGTCCTATTTTTTCGCAAATTCTATCTAGATTTAACTCCAGCTAATATTCTCATTTCTATGGAGAGCAATTTGATGTTTATTAACTCTAAGTTATATGTAAAAAAATTGTCTCTCAAACTTAACCTTTGCACAATTTATATTTACTGCTAAATATGAGTGCGGCTTAAAA